TTTAAAAAGAATAGCCTTGACCCAGTGTCTTGCTGTTGTGACAGAACTGATATGAGCTGACATGAAACACTTGGCATCCAGAACACATAAGGAAGTTATTGCTTCACTTCTAAAAAGAAAATGAAGGCAACATATCAAGAAAGGATCAAGCTTCATTTAAACTCGTGAAATGAAACGAAAAATTGCTCAAATTACTTTCAGAACTTCAAAACAAACAAAACCTTTTTGAAACTGAATAAGCCACTGGAGACATATGGCCATGCAATCAAGCTTTATAGTCACTGCAGTAAACATACAGTGAGTGATCATATTTATGTGCATTTCACGAAGCGATCTCCAAAACTGCTGACACAGCATTAAGTAATGCTGACTCAGGACCGAACACATTTGCAAATGAGCAACACCCGACATATGTATGCAGTCTGTGCCCCAAATGTTGAAGTTACTAGCCCAAACTAGGCTCTTAGCATCATTTTCAGTTAATTTTGGGCTCATTATATAGGCTGAGCTTACTAGACCAAACAGAATTTTACTAGACTCGTGCTTCAGACTAGTGGCCAAAGTTGCTGGCTCTGTATCTATAAAGGTTTTTCTGGCGAGGGATCCACCATTTAAAGTTCTGAAGGGAGTTGGGGCTAGGATTTTTGTTCAGTCACTGCTTCAAAATATTCCAACAATATTCTGGGAGATGTCAAACAATTGTTTTTTTCACAACACAATTTTTATCAGGACATCCAAGCATGTCCAGCACATGTTGTTTACTTTAAGTGGGGGAAAACAAATTAATATTTTAAAAAGTCAGTCATCAGTCACCCAGAGTACCGGTAAATCAAAAGCCACAGCCAGCCCAAACCTTGCAAATTTCATGTCAGTCCATAAGCTACCGTATTCAACGTAAAAAGCGCCCAGGGCACTCTCAAAATTAGAAATAGGGGGCTCTTATTAGAATATTATTATGGTGAAAAAAACAGAGTTGAAAGATAAATTTCATGGTTTATGCTGACAGCCTGAAATGTTTATATACGACAGATATATATTTTTCCAGAATTTAATTGCCGATAATTAAGGGTGCATTTAACACACGAGTGCATATTATACGCGAATAAGTAAGTCTTGTGTACATTGATCAGTTGGAAGGGGTGCTAATTTCGATTGTTCACCAGCCAATATATTAGCAAATATTGACATGGGCGCTTATTAGAGCGTGGCACTTATTATGTCGAATACTGCATACTTAAAAAAAAGCTCAAATTTAAAATTCATTGACATAATGCCACATTATAATTGGACAAGGAATAGCAGACCATCTCAGGCCATTATGGCTAATTCCAGAGGTTGCAGACAAGAGTGTTGAGGGAGCTTACACCGTGGTAGCATGGCCCTTCTGTCATGGTCTTATGGCCATCATGAGGATCACAATTAAGATGATCTGATGCGTACACCGAGTTGCAACATGTGTGCATTTAATGTGCATTACATGCAGTACATCGGAGCCAGGAAGAAAACCATTTTCAATTTAATGGTTACTTGCAAAGTCACAGTGCATAGGAAACAAAAACAGATTTCTCCTATCAGTGTCCCATTTGGTTCAGTCAGCCATATGATGACACACATGTGCTGCACAGATATCAATACTCAATCACTAGCTTTAACTAGACTGTCTGTGCCTTAGGCAGTCAATCATGTTACAGGGGTAACAAAAGTCAAGGTCATGCTAGATGAGATTATATGTTTTCACAGTATTAATAATATTAACTACAAGGTGTGGTGAGGTGAAATTGGTTTAATTTCGCGTCCATGATTATTGCACTTATATAGCGACATGCATGTACGTCTCTGTGTTTGTGTGGCTGCTTGTACTAGTCCAGACTGATGCCGATTTATAGTGCTAGCCCACTGAGATACCTTCCGCTCTCCGGGCTGACACTCTACCACTAGACCACTGGGCAGTCATAAACTGACTACAAACGAGTATTGCCATACAGATTAAATACCATCAGTAGATGTTGCTAACATTTTAACCATATTAACCTGAGGTTGACATAATGTTTCCTCTCTCTCGGTTATCTCCCTTTATTGCCAGTTCTGTTCTGAATCATTTTGGTTTGAAATTTATTTGTCACATGCTGACAGTCTCTCGTGACTGATATACACATCATCAAGTGTCTTACAGCTGCATGAAGACTCAGTGTGAAGGCAGTGTACCTATGGGAGCCTATCAGACATGATCAAAACAGCCATCCAAATGTAGTCCACCCAGTACATGCTTGAGACTCCCGTACAATTTTGGTGTTCTGAAGAAAAATTCTACTCAAAGGAACAAGGTAAATTACACAGTGCTCTGTTAAGATTCTTTTGGCCTTGATCCAATCTCATTAAAATCAGATCTTAGTTCTCGCTATACCGCTGAACAAAGATCTGAGGACATCCCATTGCGGGTCACGTCAGAATGACCTTTCATCTGACCAATCAGAGCATCGCTTATCAGATCATGAAAGTGACAGTTGGAATGTGATTTTTGATCGTGTAACCTCGAAAAGAAAAAACACACAGGGTATTCTGAATGACAGTTATTGGCTTTATGTATGTATTCATATAATCTAGACCATCCATTAGCTATTCCAGAATGTTCTTTTGTTCAGTTTTTAATTTCTTAATCAAGTGTATGTCAAAATATGTTTCGAAGCGTAGTCGCCAGTTTAAAACTTGTGCCTTAAAGCTTGATTTAGCTGCCTACTGATTAGCTATTGTCGATTTCTTGTTAGTCATTCCAATGATCGGTCAAAGTTTGCGAAAGATTGGTCTTACGTGACCTGTAAAGGGATGTCCTCAGATATTTGTTTAGCAGTAGCGAGTACTAAGATCTGATTTTAATGAGATTGGCCTCGATCATCTGATCCATTCACAGTTCCAAATGTGGCAAATGAAGCCTGACGATGTGATCCATGTTTGAGTCACCTGTACAATTATTTTGTTCTGAAGACAGAACCAGAAATTCTACCTAAAGGAACAAGGTAAATTACACAGTCCTCTGTTGAGATTCTATTGAGCCTGATCAGTCATGATCCATTCACGGGTCCAAATGTGGCCCACATGAAGCCATTACGACAACAAGATCCACACAAATCAGCAAAACAATTTTGGTGTATAGAAGATAAATTCTACCACATGCACACACCATCTAAAACGTGAATTGTTAACAAGTCAGTTCATATGATGAAAAGGGGAGCCTCTGAGGCAGATGTATACTTTGATCACTCTGCTGCACTGAGACTGAGAATTATGACTGTACAAAAGACAACACAATCTGTCCCAAGGTCAATTCCAGGATGGCCATACACCAATACAATATCCATATTTATACATCAAAGCTTTATCAGGATAAGCAACAGTTGCAAGTACATTACGCACGCACACACACGCACACACACGCACACACACGCACACACGGACGGACGGAACCCATTTCTATATCTCCTGCCAACTTCGTTGGGGCGGGGGATAAAAATCACTATGTGCAATAAACCATAAGTTGTTATCCATAAAGTTGTATGTTTTCTTATTGGTTCAGCAGTTTGCACAACAGTACATTATTTAAGAAATAAACAATGGTTTATTCTACCTGCAGTGTATTATTGTATGATAAACAATGACCATGAGTCATTTATTTCTTATATGAGATATGAACATTTTGTACAGCCTCTTAATGATGTCAATCGAATCTACAAGCTTTCAAAAATAAATATCCCATATTTTCATAATGATGACTCCCTGAATACAATCCGACCCCAGCAGTGTTGGACAAGTTCATTTTATTAACAGGGGGGGGTATGTTTGGTATTTCACAAATATTCTCACAATTTTCACATCCATTCTATGAGCCTTTTCTCCCAATACAGATTGTCATATTTCTCCCACTTTTGAATGTGATCGCTCGACCATTGCGTTCATCTGCGGTTGCCAGCTACATCTATGGAGAACAGCTCACTGGACACTTCACTTTCAAATATAACATCATCCAATTTACGACATCATCAAGTCGCGAGCGCATGTTTGAATCTCCAGAAATGACGTCATGATAGAACAATGTTTCATCACGAAATAAACCATCCTTCTTCTTCATTGATCTTTGCAGATTTATTGCAAAGCTATCTTATATATCCCAATAAAGTACTGGCACTTGTCTACTATCTATTATGAAGAAGAAGCAGAATGTGCCTTCTGAGCAGAAGGAAACAGGCACCATCAGCAGCATGCTCAGCATGTTCTAAAACACTGATCAGTTGTTGTTCAGTTCCCCACATGTGGGAGTATTGCACTATCAGCAAATGGCACCGAACTCTTGGAAGTAAACTGCAGGTTTTACTTTACCCTTGTTGTTAATTGCTCTCATGGAAATCATTTCATGCTCCTTAGCGTTTGAGACTTATGTAGGATATTAAGGATTTTCTGACTATTTTTCTTGGTCTAGAGCATTTATTTTATTTCTCACCATGAATAGCTACAAAATTGCTTATGTGGCACATGGCAATGTTCATCCTAGACTTCATGCCTCTCTGAGAGGCAAAATGATCCCCTGGAGAGCTTCCGAAGCTTATGATGACATCCCTCTTCCAAAAAGACAAGCCAACAAACAAAAACATTGATTGTTTGAGTGAGTTGAGTTCAATGCGGCTTTGAACTGTATGTCAATCATACCGTGGAATACCACTTGACACTGTTTGGAACTCTATGGTGCTGGCTGATCAAGGATCAAAATGAAGGAATCTCCCTGGGATTCAAACCCTCAATCAGCAGATTCTGACCTACAAAGAATCCCAAACATCCTGCCTCTCTGAAACATCATGAGATCTCCGATGGAGGATTCCAATGATCACGATGTCCAACACCAGTGATTGAGAAGAAATGGTGGATGTGTCGTGTGAGATGCTGCCCAACACACGCCTGTTCTTCGCCAGTGATGGAGAAGATGTGTCTGTGAGATGCTGCAAAACACTCACCTGTTGTTCTCCTGCTTGAAGTCCTCTTCCTCGAGGTTGACCACGGCAATGGCCATCAACTTGCCGGTGTCCGCCATCTCATTCAGACCACCACCTGCTACACGGGGGAATGCTGGGAAGCGTTCCCTATTCACCCATCTGTCCAATGAGCTCCTCCGTACAACGCCATCTTCATCTGGCCAACATACAGATTTATGATCAGGCAACTGTTCATGCATATGACAAACTCTTCCCCAAGTACACTCAATCCAAAGGATGGAAGAGAATGACGTGACATTATGATGAATACAATTGATAAGAACGTGAAGGTATTTAGTGGGTGGGTGGGTGGGGTGGGGTGGGGTGGGGTTGGGTGGGTGAGTGAGTGAGTGAGTGAGTGAGTGAGTGAGTGAGTGAGTGAGTGAGTGAGTGAGTGAGTGAGTGAGTGAGTGAGTGGGTGGGTGGGTGGGTGGGTGGGTGGGTGAGTGAGTTTATATTGTTTTGACTATTCATTTCAGCAAAAATGGAATTAATGCCAAATGGGGCATTTGCCAAATTCCAAATGGATAATGTATCATGGTTTATTTGAGAAAGAAGACAAAATGATTCACATTTTATCAGAGAAGTTGTTATAACATTTTATTTCAGAAATAAACGATGAGTGGGAGTTGTTTATCGTACAATAAAACTCTGCAGGGAGAACAAACTATGAAGGGTGCCACCCCAAGTAGTTTATTCTCCCTGCAGTGTTTTATTGTACAATAAACAATGACCATGAGTCGTTTATTTCTTATATGAGATATCAACATTTTGCAGAGCCTTTTAAGGATGTCAATAAATTGTACTAGCTTTAAAAACATTTACCTGTATTTAAAATAATGATGACTCCCTGAATACAACCCAACCTCGGCATTGTTGGACAACTCCATTTTATGTACAGGTGGGTTAAGTTGGGTATTCTCACAATTTTCACCTCGATTATCTGTACCTTTTCTCCCAATAACGATTGTCATATCTCTCCTGCTTTTTGGCATGATCGTTTTGCCATTGCATTCACCTGCGCTGTCTAGCTACATCTGTGGGGAACAACTCACTTGACACTTTCCTCTCAAAAATACCATCGTCCAATTTACGACGTCATCAAGCTGCAAGCGCATGTTTGAATCTCCAGAAACAGCGATAAAATAATGATAGAACAATCTTTAATCGTAAAATAAACCATGCTTCGTTCTTCATTGTTTTTTTATATTCATCACGTAGCTATCTTATATTATCTTTTAAATTTGCCCTTATGAGATACAGATTCAGTTTATTCAGAATTCCAGGCCATCTGACCCACAGTACATTCATAGATCTAACATTTATAGGTGCATCTTAATATCTCTTTTCATACAAAGAATTTTGTACAAAGACAACTTAAGCAATTTCTGTGAATTTAAAGATGTACATAAGTTTGCTGCAGCCAATATAGAATTAGAATTAGCTGTGTATTCTTGCAAGTACAAATTACATTCTACTGCATAACATGGGCAATGAAATAATACACAACTTTCATCTTCTATTGCAAAACAGGTTTTACACAAGATTTCAGGATCATATTATTCACATTTACCTTTACCGAAGTTTTGTATACCAAGAGAATTCATACATGATTTAAATTACTTTTAACAAAGTTTTTGATAACACACAGAGCTAATATAAATTAGCAAATAAATTGTAAAATAAATTTACAAAATTTTCTGTGAACCTTTTCTAAACTTTCTCTCATTTTAAATCACCATATTTCACTACCATATATAAGTATTGGTACAATTTTGTTGTCAAATATTTGAAATATAGTCCTTTCTAGAAACATCATATCTCCTTATTAGAGATTTAATAAGCCCTTTTCCACTGTGTGTAAATGGTGAATGAATGCTATCTTAGTAGTTTTGTAAAAACTAAGAATTTGTATCTTAATTTGAAGTTTTTACATTGTTTTTCTCTGTTAACCCTGTAGTTCTCTGGCTGAGAGATATACATGTTACAGGGATACAGGAATAACCCTGATGTTGTTTCTGAAAAAGTCTTTCTCTGAGAAGACACTTGACAAAAGGAATGTACCCTTCTACAGACCTGCCACAGATCTAAGTTCAACACATTCACAGAATATCATTGAACCTTTAATACAATAAAGTTAGTGTAGCAACAACATACCTTCATATTCGTAGTACGTCCCATCTTTAAATACCACCACTGATGGATAGCCCTTCAATTTTACCTTCTGAAAAATACAACACAGTGACACGCACCATCAACCTGTGCCAGACAACTGTCACATTACTGTTACAATTAGCATCCATTTGGTAAAAGATAAGCAAGTTAATATAACACACTCTAAAACATAGTACAGGTAACAATGTTGATGTTGTGTCATGATGTAACAATATATGATGTCATCACAGTATATCAATGTTGATGTCATGTGTAACAATGGATGCTGCCACAGTATATCAATATTGATGTCATGCGTAATAAAGTGACAATGGATGCTGTCACAGTATATCATTGTTGATGTCATGTGTAATAATGTAACAATGGATGTCATCACAGTATATCATTGTTGATGTCATGTGTACTAATGTAACAATGGACATCGTCACAGTATATCATTGTTGATGTCACGTGTTATAATGTAACAATTGAGGTCGTCACAGTATATCATTGTTGATGTCATGTGTAATAATGTAACAATGGATGTCATCACAGTATATCATTGTTGATGTCATGTGTAATAATGTAACAATGGAGGTCGTCACAGTATATCATTGTTGATGTCATGTGTAATAATGTAACAATGGAGGTCGTCACAGTATATCATTGTTGATGTCATGTGTATTAATGTAACAATGGCTGGTCGTCACAGTATATCATTGTTGATGTCATGTGTTATAATGTAACAATGGATGTAGTCACAGTATCATTGTTGATGTCATGTGTAATAATGTAACAATGGATGTCATCACAGTATATCATTGTTGATGTCATGTGTATTAATGTAACAATGGCTGGTTGTCACAGTATATCATTGTTGATGTCATGTGTTATAATGTAACAATGGATGTAGTCACAGTATCATTGTTGATGTCATGTGTAATAATGTAACAATGGATGTCATCACAGTATATCATTGTTGATGTCATGTGTAATAATGTAACAATGGATGTCATCACAGTATATCATTGTTGATGTCATATGTAATAATGTAACAATGGGTGTCGTCACAGTATCATTGTTGATGTCACGTGTTATAATGTAACAATGGATGTCATCACAGTATATCATTGTTGATGTCACGTGTTATAATGTAACAATGGATGTTGTCACAGTATCATTCTTGATGTCATGTGTAATAATGTAACAATGGATGTTGTCACAGTATCATTCTTGATGTCATGTGTAATAATGTAACAATGGATGTTGTCACAGTATATCATTGTTGATGTCATGTGTAATAATGTAACAATGGGTGGTCGTCACAGTATATCATTGTTGATATCATGTGTAATAATGTAACAATGGGTGGTCGTCACAGTATATCATTGTTGATGTCATGTGTAATAATGTAATAATGGGTGGTCGTCACAGTATATCATTGTTGATGTCATGTGTTATAATGTAACAATGGATGTTGTCACAGTATATCATTGTTGATATCATGTGTAATAATGTAACAATGGGTGGTCGTCACAGTATATCATTGTTGATGTCATGTGTAATAATGTAACAATGGATGTCATCACAGTATATCATTGTTGATGTCACGTGTTATAATGTAACAATGGATGTCGTCACAGTATCATTGTTGATGTCATTTGCAATAATGTAACAATGGATGTCATCACAGTATATCATTGTTGATGTCATGTGTTATAATGTAACAATGGATGTTGTCACAGTATATCATTGTTGATATCATGTGTAATAATGTAACAATGGGTGGTCGTCACAGTATATCATTGTTGATGTCATGTGTAATAATGTAACAATGGATGTCATCACAGTATATCATTGTTGATGTCACGTGTTATAATGTAACAATGGATGTCGTCACAGTATCATTGTTGATGTCATTTGCAATAATGTAACAATGGATGTCATCACAGTATATCATTGTTGATGTCATGTGTAATAATGTAACAATGGATGTCGTCACAGTATCATTGTTGATGTCATTTGCAATAATGTAACAATGGATGTCATCACAGTATATCATTGTTGATATCATGTGTACTAATGTAACAATGGATGTCGCCACAGTATATCATTGTTGATGTCATGTGTAATAATGTAACAATGGATGTCATCACAGTATATCATTGTTGATATCATGTGTACTAATGTAACAATGGATGGCGCCACAGTATATCATTGTTGATGTCATTTGCAATAATGTAACAATGGATGTCATCACAGTATATCATTGTTGATGTCATGTGTACTAATGTAACAATGGATGGCGCCACAGTATATCATTGTTGATGTCATTTGCAATAATGTAACGATGGATGTCGTCACAGTATATCATTGTTGATATCATGTGTACTAATGTAACAATGGATGTTACCTAAGTATTTCATTGTTGATGTCATGTGTAATAATGTAACAATGGATGTCGTCACAGTATCATTGTTGATGTCATGTGTAATAATGTAACAATGGATGTCATCACAGTATATCATTGTTGATATCATGTGTAATAATGTAACAATGGATGTTGTCACAGTATATCATTGTTGATGTCATGTGTAATAATGTAACAATGGATGTCGTCACAGTATATCATTGTTGATATCATGTGTACTAATGTAAGAATGGATGTCGTCACAGTATATCACTTTTGATATAACAAAAGCAGTCAGCAGTCAACAGTCAGCACTTAGAAGAATTAATGGCATATACCACATTTTCTGGAGTATAGTGCACAATTTTTTCCAAAAAACACAGCTGTGTAGAAGGGGGTGCGCATTATACAAGCCATAATGAGTTTTGATGGTTTTTTCCCCCAGCGAAAAGACATTACTGTGAGCACGTAACACCGGAAATACCATGTCAACAAACCCATACTGAAGTACGCAAATTAATCAAGTCATTACACTGTCTGGCCATAAAAAGTGTTCATTGTATATCTGGACTTGTTTGTAACTTATTTCATTAATTTTATTCAAAATTCCTTTTAATATTGTTTTAATTAATTTCACTGAAATCATGTGTGAAGCGTTCGGTAGATCGCACAACTTATCATTTTTAACAGCAACCACAGTCTGATAACCGCTATTGATGCCTTGATTTTTTATCTCAAATTTCAAATTTGTACTGACCAAGTTTCTTATCACCCTTTCGTTTACCGGAATTCGCTGAAGGGGTGCGGTGTAATTTTTTTCTGCGCATGATATTCAAATAAAAAGAAAATATCCAAAATACACCCCCCCGTCAGAGGGGGGTGCGCATTACACTTGGGTGCGCACTACACTCAAGAAAATACGGTATTCAAACATGAGCATAAATCTCTATTTTCCTTTTCACTTGATTGCCTACACGTGTTGTTTGTTCTACTTACAAATTGGCTACAAGTATATATGTTAACCTTTTCCAACTAAATAACCATTTCTTCAGGCTAAAAAAGATAATAGTCTTGGTTCTCAGGCACCACCCACATCATCATAAAGTCTGCTGCACGTTTTGTTTATATTTCCATTTTCAAACAAATATAAAAATCCTAATGCTTAAACACAGTGCATAAAAAAAATTGAAAATAGAAACAAAAACGAAACGTGCAATGAACTTTATGATGATGTGGGTAGTGCCTGAGAACTAAGACTAATATTTTTGTTTAGCCTTACATAATGAAAACATCACTTGTCAGTTGCATCAGTGATCAATTTTAGTTGAACAAAATTTGATGGCCACCTAGATGTGATTTTGTACCAATTTCTGTTGAGTAAAGTTTGATTCATCTTAGTACAGGTACAGGTCTTCCAATATTTTAGGAGTGATTTATCAAAGATTCCCATGATTGTGTCAGAACACCTGCACCACTTCTGGCTTTCCTCCAACGTGCAGCTGACACTCTGTGATAGAACTGAATTACTGTTCAAAGTAGTGCCAAACTAAACTCACTCACTGAATATTCATCTCACCTCACAAACCTCATTTCTTAATGGCTGCCATGGCAGCCATTTTGAATTATTTTAAAGGAAGACCTACTTCATTATAGCAGAGACCATAAAATAGATCTTGGCTGTTTATTTGTTGTTTAACGCCGCACTCAGCAATATTCCAGCTATATGATGGCAGTCTGTAAATAATCGAGTCTGGACCATGACAATCCAGTGATTGACATCATGAGCATCGATCCATGCAACTGGGATTCGATGACATGCATCAACCAAGTCAGTGAGCCTGACCACCCGATCCGGTTAGTCGCCTCTTACGACAAGCAAAGTCCCCTTTTACTGCAAGCATAGGTTGCTGAAGACCTATCCTACCCCGGATCTTCATGCATGAAATAGATACTATATGGTTTCTGATTATAGACAAGTGACTAATATGACATTTCAAAAAGACCACGTGAAATGGTTTCAGAAAAGAAAGACTTGATACCAAGCAATGCCAAAGATAAGATCAAGATAAAACCAATTTCCAAGTACAAGTTGCAGATCATTGACCGCAAGAGCCGATGACATCAGACAGTGTCCTTCAGCCATTCAACAACATCACCTGCAGCTGATGCATCACGCTCAAGCAAGCACAAAACAACAACAAGGCAACATATATTCTCAACAAAAACCTCAAAGAAGACTTCAAAGAGAAAATCTTCAAAATACAAAACAACCAACCAAAACATTTTCCACAAACATGATCTGGAAGAGACACTACAGTATTACAGCACCATAAACATACACCACAAAACAAGCAATTGTACAATACAAATAACAAACAGACATTGCAGTTGGAGTGGTATGGACATGTCTTGTTCCAGATATACCATCACTCTACAAGCCATGACACTCTGCCCATAGGAAAGATGTTTAGGTAAAATACTGTACAGGTACATGTAATTTAAAAATGTTGCAAAGTTGAACACCAATTTCATCTGTATTTCAGCTGTATCGTGGCAAGTTGAACACCAAATTCAGATGTATTTCAGCTGTATCGTGGCAAGGTGAACACCACTTTCATTTGTATTTCAGCTGTATCCTGGCAAGTTGAACACCAAATTCA